CACATAGAGACAAACGAGACAAACAACCATTCACTCTCTCACTCACACCTAGAGACAATTTAGAGTTACCAATCAGTCTAACATGCATGTTTTTGGACTGTGGGAGGAAACTGGAGTACCCGGAGAAAACCCACACATGCACGGAGAGAACATGCAAACTCCACCCAGAAAGGCCTCCGTACTGGGATTTGAACCAGGGACCTGCTCGCTGAGAGGCAGCGGCTCTACCAGTTGCACCACCGTGCTGCCATTTTCAGAGTTACTGTAATAGCAAATAATATTTTGGAGATTTAATGAGCATGCAATTAGTCGATTGAAAAATTTGAGATTCAAGGTCAGTCCAAAATTTCTTGGATGTGTCACAACTAAAAACAAATGCAAAGTTGTTTCTAAGTTTATTCTACAAAAAGTACAAGTCATTAATATCTGTGCATCTAGCAATGAAACAGTTCACTGGATATAAATATGTAAATTTGTAAAGTGTGTTCCTTTGACTTTGTTAGAAATACAGAAGTTGTGGGGTAAGAGCCAGGAGCTTCTCCAATGTACAGTATGTTATCAATTTGAGCTCTCCAATAAAATTTACCTCTGGGTACCACACATTTTTCTTATGAAAGCTCTGGCATATCTGTCTGTTGTTAAATTTTGTATCTGTTAGTTTAATTCTTTCCAGTGTGAGCGTGGGTAGAGTTTTCATAAATTCACTGTAGCACATACGACTTTTGACAAGTTGAATTAATTATTTGAGAATAACATTAGTCATATTAAATTCTCAGAAAGGAATAGGAAAATGATGGACAGACAAAGTTCTAAAAATATAACATATTGCCAGTATTATCAAAAAGATTAAGGATGTGGATGATGTATTTATTGAACCATTTAGGAAAAAAATGATTTGGTCCTTGTCAGAATATTGCAGTTATTCCAGAGGAGAGCTTTATGGAGTGAAAACTTGTGGACAAAGGTCAGTTTCCAAGCTAGAAGGGCCTGCTGATGAAATCTGGACAATTTGATGGGTCATTTGTTGGGTAAGAAGTTGCATTTCAAAAGGAAAGACAGACCTCCTATTCCAGGGCTGGCCAAGCCTCCATGGGGCCCTAAGCATAATTTGGTTTGGGGCTCTCTGTTTCTGCTAATAATGTGAATCACTGCAATCAACAATCAGATGATCTGATCATTCACCCAGCTCACATAAACTCATTGCAACTCTGACAGCTCTGTTTACATTATCCTATATGTATAAATCACACTAAAAGAAAAGAAAAAAAAATCACCAGTATGTAATGTATTTTACAACAAAGGTGTAATCTGGTTCATTATCTTTGGTTCCAAAGAACTGCAACAATAATGTTATAAATAATTTGTAGGGCACGATCAACAGCAAACAATAGATAAAATAACTTAGATGCAAAATTAAAAAATATATATTTAATTGTGCAAAAACAGACTAAATTAAATCAAATAAAAAAAATTAAATAAAGGAAATACTTAATATTGTAAATGAACAATTACTTGAATTACTTGTTTAAAAAATAAATTTAAAGTTGAATAATTAATTCTTAAAACTATGTAAATATATGCAACAATTTGCAAAAGCTGAAATTAAAATATTAAATAGAATCATATATAGAAATCATTACTTTAAAAAAAAAAAAATCTATTCCACTTAGGGGGGCCCTAAGCAGTTTGCTTATTCCTTGGGCCGGCCCTGTCCTATTCAGTTAAGTTCCAAATGAAGTTTAAAAAAAGCTTTGACTGCTGTTGAATCATTAACAAAAAGAGATGAGGACGAATATACAAAGCGAGATACACCTTCCGCTTTAGAAAGAACTCTGTCAAGGACAGACAAGTCTCTTAGATGCCATAAATTAAAAATGAATTTAGTTTTAGTTATTCTGTTTGAAAAGTTTAAATGCTGCCTAGCAATAAGATTTTTAGTTAAAAATATGCCTAAATGCTTTATTGTTTCTTTAACTGGAATATTACAGATCATAGTTAAGAAGAGTCAGAATTTAAAGCGCGTGCCAAGGATTGTTTCGTTACGGACGAATGTCGTCACGATGACATATGACGCCTCGCTAGTTCAGGAAAATGATTAGTTTTGGCTATCTTCATCAGCTTAAATAAAAGAAATGGATCGCTGCTAAACCTGTGCACGTGTTTGTGTTGGAGTTTCACCACTTCATGACAGAGGAGCTTCTTTTCATGGAGCCTGCAAAAAAGAAGAAGAACTTCACCTGTGCTGTGTGCCAACACTTTAAGAAGAGTCCTCCCAGGCCTTTTAAGAGTATTAAAACATTTTTTTGTTTCTCAGTGATTTTTTTTTCTTGTGATTTTTTCTGCCTGTGCATTCAGCTGTAAAGTGCACTTTATAAATATATATATATTTAAAAAAAAGTTAAATCATGTCATCTGGACAGTTTCTTTTTTGGAAGAAAATATTTCATCATTGATCCAAAGGACTTCATCAGTCTTGGAGAACCTGCCAACAGGATGTGTCGTATCATCTGTCATGGTTTAACGTTTTTGTGATTTATTTACTGCATGATTGAGCCTACTTACTCTTTTAGCATTATAAATACTTTTTATTATCGTTACTGTTGTTATTAATGCTGTTATTACTGTTTTTATTACATTCACATTCCTGTTTTTTTCCATTTCAAGGTGTTTGTTGTGTTCTAAAGAACTGGTGTCAAATTTGTTAAACAACCATGATAATAATGATATAATGATAAACTCATACACGTCACAAAATGAAGACAGAAGAACAATCATTGCACATGTTGATTGAGTTGTGTACCTTTCAAACACAATAAAGTGTAATCTCATCTAATGTAATCGCAGTGGGCAGAAAGGGGGAGCTGGATGAGGCTTTGGTCTCCATGACTGCTACAGACAAACAGCCAGCTGTCAAAGACAAAGACTTCAGGGACTTTGTTGCAAAATTAGATCAAACTCTTGTTCCTCCTACCAGAAAGGTTTGTGGGGTGACATAGAGTAAATATGACTAGTGTTGAAATCAATAATCATTGTTTTATTGCTTCCCTTTAGTAATAAAACATCTTCCATCCTTTATTATTAACATTATTATCATGGTTGAGGCCAATAAACAAAAAGATAAAAAGGCCAAAGCTGAGGTCCAGAAAGTTCCTGCAGTGAGTTTGACAGCTGACGTGGGGGACGTGTGGAGACAGGAACCAGCTGAGTCTAAACTCAGTAGAATAAATACTTGTCCTTAACAGAAATTTAAAACGTGACCATGACCCCAGTGTACATACATTCACTGTTCGACCACTGCAACATTTTTAATATCTAATGACTGAAGTTATACTGACGTGTTTATTAAAATGAATAAACATAAATATCTCTGTTACTGTTAACCAGACATCAGAATTTACGTGAATAAACCACATTAAATACAATTTAGGTGCTTTAGTTTATTTTCAAGAAGACGACATCACAAGTAGTTGAAATTACAAACAATTCGACCAGCGGGGGGTGGGGGGGTTGCACATGAAGACTCGAGAAATGAACCTTTTATTGAACTAATTGGAATGAAAGGATGGATGGTTGTCAGCAGCAAACTGGTTGATCCACTCTGAGAAGGTGCTATTTAAGAGACTGAGCTGAATACAGCACCTCAGACTGAGGAAGTCTCTTGGATGAGAGACGAAACGTTTCTATATTTTTTTGCTTTGTTTTGTTTTTTGTTTTTTTGAATGTCCAGAGGACCAGATTGAACTTTTTTGGATTTTTCTACCTGGATTATTGAGCATGCATCAGGATAATTGGAATGAAAGCTTCATGGCTTCATGTGGCCACCATTAATAAGGACTACAGAGGTCTGAAGACTTATTATCCAAAGGTCTCAAATGTTCCAGCAGAGCTCGACTGAGCCACGGGTCCAGTGCAGCAGTTCTCATCAGACTGGATCAGAAACAGGTGTGAGCTCCATCCTGCCACTCAGCAGCTGCATGAACTGAGGATAGCTGCAGGAAAACAGAATCTCTAGTTACAAGAGCCAATGATGGACTGGAGACCTGTCCAGGGTGTCCCCTGCCTCTCACAGTGAATGCTGGATATGTGCATCAGTGACCCCCGTGACCCAAAAAAGGAAGAAGTGGGTAAAAGATGATGGATGGATGGATGGATGGATGGATGGATGGATGGATGGATGGAT